TGCTGAGTCCTGGCGCTCAAACTGAGGCTGGGCCTCGAAAGTTTTGCACCCAAACTGAGGCTGGGCCTCCAGTGCCTACTGAAACGGCGTGCTCTCAAAATCAGGGTCTGGCGCTGAAATGCGCGCCAGGGCCTGTAACCAAAACGAGGCCTACCGGGCCTCTAACTGGTACCGGTCCTACTCAGGCCCAAACGCCAGCCTACCGACCCCTCGGACCCTACTGAGGGTCAAGACGACACAGATCCTACCTCTACGGACCCCTAACCTACCTGGTCGGGCCCTGCTGGGCCCGTGTGGAACTGAGTATGCCACAGTTGCCTTGGGACATGGCGAAGAGGCGGTTGATGGCGAGTGCTGGGGTGTCGTCAACGATGAACCGCTTCTTCCATTCCTTCGTCAGATCTTCCCATGAGATCTTGTTGTGAAGGTCGGGGACCTGGACGCCGTGGATGGTTGCCTTGTGGTTGAGGCAGATCTGGCATCCACGATTGGAGTTGAGGTACAGCGCCGAGATGTACAAGTAGTTGGGGACCCAATGAATTCGAGTCTCCATTGTAGAGGACTGCCACCAGATGACTGGATCCTGCTGTGTATAATCGTCAAACTCCCTGATCCGGAACGTCGGCATCTTGTACTGCCGTGGTGCACCCATGCTGCCATCGTTGGCTGGAGGCTGTTGTAGCTGCCGAATCTCAGTCTTCAAGGTTCCGAGCTCCTCGCGGATGGTGGCTGGTGCAGTGGAAGTATTGATGTCCCCGAGCATTGCAAGTATGTGGCTGAGTCGTTGGTCCAACTGGCGGGACGAGGCGGCATGGCTGGGTTCGCCAGCATCTGGTATTGGTGCTGCTTGCTCAAAGTCCTGTACCCGGGTATGAAGTGCCCGTGTGGCATCCTCGTGCAGATCCTTGTGGTTCCGCACTGCCTGTCGGAGATTCTCCTGTTCCTGGTGCTGTTTCTCTTACTCGGACTGCAGATGGTTACAAGTGTAAACCAACCGGGTCACGAGTTTGGAGAGGAACTCCTTGTGTTGCTGTTCTGGTGTTGCGTCGTCATGGCCCTTGGATGGCTCAAAATGCCAAAACTTGAGCCTGTCGACGCTGGCGGCTTCGTGCGGCTGCAACAGGTCTCGGGCCTGCTTGCGGAGGGCCTGAGCATCTGCATCAGCTGCGGCCTCAAGCCGCTGCTCCCGCCTGGCGCTGTTCCTCAGCCTCGATCTGCACGACCTGATCTTGGACCCGCTTGCTGAAATCGGCAATGGACTCGCCGGTGAGTTGGCCCGGCATGCCCAAAGCTGGAGCAGGCATGGTGACAGGGTACTGCTGTCGTGGCACTGCTGCTGATGTGGCATTGCTGCTGACGTGGCACTTATCAAACCAGGAAACCAGACAAGCAGCTGGGTGGGAGGGAAACGTAGGTAGGCGAGCAAACTGCACTTTCCATTCCTGGTCCTAATCAACAGAAAAAATAAAATTAAAAGAAAATAAGAGAAAGGATTCCTCTTTTTTTTTTTCTTCTGAATATCTCTCAATCTGATATCAGTCAGGCATTTTCGGAGTACGAGTGAGATCTAGGCAAGGCTCATAGAATTTCAAGTTTCCAAAAAATGCATTTAACTTCAGAAAAAAAAAAAAATATTTTTGCACGAAATTCCTACTTTGGTTAATCAATCAATCAATCAATCAATTAAGCTGACTTTTTGATTGGGCAGATCCTCTGATTGAGAGGTCTGCTCCAATACCAAACTGTCTCATACCGAAACGGTGCAAACCAGAACCAAGAACCGGCCTCTCTCACATAGCACAGGATAGCACAGAGGAAGACTGAAATACCAATGATCAGACCAATCAATGTCGCCATGCAGACCGAACATACATCATCATCATCACAAGGTGTGAAGGGGCCTGGCGCCACACACAGGAAGAATGCGGCAGTCTCAGATCATACGCAAATGAGGAGAGGGGGATCAGACGAAGAGGAGGGAGGAGATGAGAATGTCCTCAACACGATGTCGTCGATATCGATCCCAAATGTCCCCCCCCATCTCTCTGTCCCAACGTCAAGCCTGGATCCAAATGTCGTCATATCCTAAAGTCACGAATCTTTCTCTCTCTCTCTCTCTCTCTCTCTCTCTCTCTCTCTCTCTCTCTCTCTCTCTCTCTCTCTACTGAGAAGTCAGGAAGCTAGAGGGGAAGGGAGAGATGGTGGACTGTGAAAGGTGGCACCTTGCTGCAGGTACACTGAAGACGAAGCTGGAGCGATGGCGTCACCGGCAAGCTTCCAGGTAAGTCCCCTGGCCTTTGCCACTCTCCTCCTTCTTAGCGCTACCCTATGGTCCTAGCCGCGCCCAGCGCTGGAAGACTAAGTCCTAAGACTACTACCGCTGCAGCGTCTCCGGAGAGTGCCGGTGCTGAATGCCAGCCTCCTAGGCGGACCAGCTATATATAGCGCTGGTCCGGCTGGGAGCCTGTCCTCACCAATGCCGAACAACGCCAGTCTCTGGCGCCCAAAATGGCCTGGCGCCTAAACGATGGCGCCCAAATTCGAAACAGTCGAATTTGAAAAAGGCCTACAGCGGCCTGGTCGCCTACTGGGCCTCTACCGGGGTCTGGCACGAAACAGGCGCCAGGGCCTACCTACTGGGCCTATAGTGGCCAATCGACACGGGCCGGCCTGAAAAAGGGCCCCTTTCTACTCTGAATCGTCACAGGGCCCGAAAGGGCCCTACCGAACCTCTATCCTACCTGGTCGGGCCCTGCAGGGGCCCGTGTGGTACTCGATATGCCACACCTTCCTCCTACTTGGCGCTCAGCGCCCAGACCTCGATCACACAGCTACTACCAGCCTACAAATTGACAATGCATCCTGTTGACGTCAGCAGCAACAACCGAAGTACATGAAGATGTCGATCCTGTAGACCATTGCCAAGACCAGGTACATGCCCTCACATCATCATCCTCATTTCTCTCTCTCTCTCTCTCTCCCTCGTCTTGTCTACCCACGTCTTCGTCCTCGTACACGAAGACCGCCACCACCTCCACTGGCTATCCAAGCCAAGCCCTGGCCATGTAGGGCTGGCGATGGTGCTGCCCTCAGCAGCGCCCTGCCTTCTTCCAGCGCCCGCGCGCACTGCCTGGCACCTAGCGCTAGCGCACACCGCACAGCCTGCGAGCGCACACTCAAGCAGCGCTGCCGCATGCACTGCCTAGTGCCTGAATGAGCCCACCAGTGGCGAGATCTTTCTTCTATGGAAAGTGCTCGCTCGGTTCGCTGTCCGGCTGGGCCTCGTGTGTTTCCAGTAGCTTCCGTTTGGGCCAAAGTGTCTGCGCCGAGGCCCGTTCAGACAGTGGCCTGGGAAAATTGGTGAGGCCTGCCCGACCATCCAGGACTAAACGTGAGGTTCTCCCTGCTTCATCTGTGCTGCTAGAAGAGCCTAGAAGGCTCACAATTTATTTCTGATTCTCACGAGTACAGAGGATGTAGCCAACTTGCGCGTGGCAACTGTCTGGCGCCCACCGAACTTTGCCAAAATTGACAAACTCAGGTCATATTGAAATTCAGGGCTCCCCCTTCACTTAGGGCTTGCTCATGCTTGCTGAAAGGGCCTTACAGGGGCATGCTGAGGAGCTAACTCGTAGCAAGACCTCGTCGAAGATCCATGCCCACATAGGGGTTCCAACAGGCTGTGCTTCGGCCCCTCAGCCTGGTCTCATAGGCCTATAAACAGGCATTGACACATAACTGATGGCTCATCCAGTTCACCACAGAGGGATCGAATGCAGAAGATGACCTGCTCCCCTTGGCAACATAATCTCTAGGATCATTGATTGCTGTGCAGAGAAAAAAGATGCAATCCCTAATTCGGATGGTGGAATTGGGAATTAAGCTATGAGAAGAGGGTAATTTTGCAAGTTGTCCTGGTTTGAGAAATTAGTTGTGAACTTCTTTATCCAGAATAAAAAGCAGTTATTGCTTTTGTCTGTAGCGGGTGTTGGATGGCTTTCTACTGACGATACTCCTGGGCTTTACCCAGAAAAAAGCAATAACGGCTTTTTTTTTGGATATCGTTGTCAACATTTGACACCATTGTCCTCGCAGGTCCCTCCTGTAGACAGCCGTTCATTGACAGCTTGATCTGCACAGCCGTCATTGCTTTTGGCAGTTTGCATCTGTGTTGGGAGGGGGGGGAAGGGGGGGGCCATCTGTGTTGTATCTGTGTGTGGTGGGGGGTGGGGCGGGGGGGCGCACTTTCATTTGTGTTGTATCTGTGTTTGGGGGGTGCATCTGCATTGTATCTGTGTTTGGGGTTTGGGGGGGGGGGGGGGGCTTGCGGGGAGATTCGTGTTGTATGGTGTTTCTTTTTTGGTGGTGGTGGTGGGGGGAGCAGTATTTGTTTTTGGCAGTTTGCATCTGTGTTGTATTGCATGTAAAGGTGGGTTCGAACTTGGGAAACATTTTTGCGCATCGTGTGGATTAGCAGGTGGGGGTCCGGGGGAGGGAGGGAGGGATTGGAGGGTAAGGGGGATTGTTGGGAGGGAAAGGGGAGGGGATTAAATGGCTTTTCTGCAGGAGAAATCCTTTTCGGCATGGCGTGTATGTTTTTGTATGTACAGCTGTTTGCTTTTGGACCAGATGAGCTGCACTGACACTACCGTCTATGGGCAAGCAGACTGAGCGTTACAGTTTAAGTGTGTTCGGTTCTGAGGGCGTACTCACACTAGCTTTATCTCCAATGAATTCGACCACATTCATTGCCGGACGTGAATGCATATGACCGCAAACTACGTCCTGAAGTAAGTAAAAAAGGTCCCACCGGTGGTGTGAGTATGCCCCGAGTATTGTGTCTGATAACATTTGCTGCCCTGTGATCAGGATCTGGAAGAGCGTTCCGATTTTCATGACACCATTTTCAATGTGTTCTGTGTCTGGCTGACAAAATCGATCTAACTTACCTCTTCCTGCGCACGTGTGTGTGTGTGTGTGGCTGTTGCTTTTTTCTGCAGGAATTTAGTGGTGCTCTTTTCTTTAATACATGGCGCGACCACATTGTGGCAGGCAGGAGTGTGTGTGTGTGTGTGTGTGTGTGTGTGTGTGTGCGAGAGAGAGAGAGAGAGAGAGAGAGAGAGAGAGAGAGAGAGAGAGAGAGAGAGAGAGNGAGAGAGAGAGAGAGAGAGAGAGAGAGAGAGAGAGAGAGAGAGAGAGAGAGAGAGAGAGAGAGAGAGAGAGAGAGGTGGGATGTTTGTGCTCTGCAGGTCGTAGTGGAGATGGTGGAGTTGAGGAAATTGGGGGGAGCTTGGGAGGAAGCAAGGGGGGCGGGAGAGTACAGAAGAAGAAAGGGAGTGGAGGAGAATGGGAGGAAGGAGGATGGGAGGAACAGGGGAGGAAGGATGGGTGAGAGGGAGGGAGGGAGGGAACATAGGAGGAGAGAGATGGAGTATAGGAGAAGGGCGTAAGGAGGGCGGGAGATGTGAAAGGGGTAGGGAAGGAACAAACTTGGAAGGAAGGAAATAAGGAGAGAGAGGGAGAAGGGGAGTAAGGAGCCTCGTAGGAAGCAACAAGGAGGGAGGGAGAGGGGAGGAATATAAGCAGCAGCAGGGAAAGATTGAGAGGAAGGAAGGAGAGATTTAGAGGAAGTAAGTAGATTTGATGGAAGGAGGAAGGAGAAGGTTAGGAGAGCAAGGAGAGCCGTGTAGAAAGGAAGGAGGGAGGAGGCAGGAGGGCCAGAGGGAGGGGATAAGGAACATGCGAGGGAAGGATGGATATCGTTCGTGTGTGTGTATTGAGGGTCGGACGATCGTGATGTTGGCACAAAGGATGATGAAGTGACATTATGATCATGGAGCAAAGGAGAGAGGGAGGGAGAGGGAGGAGGGAGAGGGAGGGAGAGGGAGGGAGGCAGAGAATCACATCGAATGGCATGCAATGCAAGCGTGGGAGTTCCCTTATCGCTTCTTGTGTTGCGGGATCATCACCTCATCGCCTCTGGTGCTACGCCTCCAGGCACAAAGTGCAGCAATTTGGACAGGTGGCGACCAAAGGCACCCTTGTCGATGGTGAATGCTCGTGATTGGATGGTGGTGGCATATTATTGGAAATAATTTTCTTTCCTGGATGGTGAGTATAGCGGCAAGCAGAGTTAACGATGTGCTTATATTGGACTTGTGTGTATAGAGAGTATAGCTTATAGCCTATAGGTCGTTAACCTATAGGCTATCGGTAGGTAACCTATAGGCTTATAGGTGATGATGGAGAGAGAACAGTTCTTTTAAGGAAGGCAGGCAGCTTTGTAATCTTCCGTTCATTTTTCTAGATGTGATTTTGCCTGACTTTCTATCGACAATGTTTTTTGACTTGTTGCATTTTCACACGTCTGTTTTGCTTTTAATTTCTTTAGTTTAGTATTTAGTATTACTTGTTTATGGTCCTGTTTTTTTCACCGGTGCAGAATGTCCCTTCGCCACGGTGTCCGTCTTGTTTGTGGCCATAGCCAGCCCTATAGCCACCCCCATAGCCAGCCCCATAGCCAACGTTGTAACTAGCTTATAGCCAGCCTCATAGCCATTGCCACTCCCATGGCCACGCCCATACCCACTCCCATAGCCACTCCCATACTCATCCCCAACAACCATCCCCCAACAGCAGTCCAGCCATCCCCATAGCCCTCCCATTAGCCATCCCCCAACAGCCGCTGCCATAGCTGTCGCCATTGTCGTCCCCATAGCTGTCTCCTAGCCATCCCCCAACAGCCGCCCCCATAGCCGTCCCCATTGCCCTACCTCTAGCTGTCCCCATAACCATCCTCATTGCAAGTGCCATAGCTCGCCACAGCTATCCCCATTGCCGTCCCTCTAGCTGTCCCCATAACCATATCCACAGCTATCGTTCTTCTAGCTGTCCCCATCGCCATCCTCATTGCAAGTCCCAGAGCTGGCCTCAGTGCCTGCGCCATCGCCAGTGTTCATGGCTGGGCTTGGAATACTCTTTCCAGTCAAGCTGCTTCCTAAAGGATATTTATTATTTTCGCTAGGAGAAGATTGTTGTGTGCTTTTCTTCCTCCCTTGTCAATTTCTCTTTTCTTGGTTCTTTTTCCCTGCTGTGTCGAAAAAAGTCAAGAAAATGAAATTTGCAGGTCAACAGTACAGCAATAAACCTGGACGTGCAGTTCAAGGCTAGGTTGTTCCTAGAGTTCAGCGTACCTAACCCTGTTTTGCAAAGGATTTGTTGTTGTTGTTGTTTTTTTATAGTTTTTGGACATCGTTTGAGACTTAGGGTGCTGAGGTGTCATTCATTTCTCAATGGAGTAGACAGAGTGCTTATGGTTCTACAGTTTTGAAAAAAATAAAAAGTTTCACTAAAAATAAAAGGCTGTCTAAACCTTACGTGCAACTTCCCCCCCACCCCCCCCTTCCCCCCTCTGAAATCCTGTTTGCAACGTAGTCTGTCGAATGTCGTACCTTTTTCCCTGAAGGGTGACCGCCCTGAAATACCATCATTGACAGTGACCTGTGCCAGGTAATTCAAAGTTGTCTTCGTCTGTCCATCTGATTTCACCTGGATTCGAACTTGAGTCTTTATTTCAACAATCAAGGGTGTACCAACTGAGGTAGCCCCCATTGGTGAATGTCATCCACATTTCTCATTGGAGAGCTGTTTTTTTTTCCCCCCTCTTTTTTTGGAGAGCCTATTTTGTGTTTGCTGTGCTGCAGAAAGGTCTGCTGTCGAAAAGCGTCGCAAGCGTGGTAAGGATGCTTGTGGCGGCAAAAGATGGGGACGGGATGTTGGGGAGGGAGGGCGGTAGATTCATTCCATTGTGATCATCCTATCTATGGAAGTACCGTGAGGCCAGCCCCAGGGTTGGAGACGTGCCAACATCGATGGAAGTAGCATGAGGGCAGCCCCGGGGTTGGAGACTTACCTGTTGGCCGGTGCATCGCTCATCCTATCAATGGAAAACTCTCTCTCTCTCTCTCTCTCTCTCTCTCTCTCTCTCTCTCTCTCTCTCTCTCTCTCTCTCTCTCTCTCTCTCTNTCTCTCTCTCTCTCTCTCTCTCTCTCTCTCTCTCTCTCTCTCTCTCTCTCTCTCTCTCACACACACACACACACACACTCACACACACACACACATGCGAGGGACCATCCGAGGATGAACTTGGCAAGATGACTGTAGGAGATTCTGTAGAAATCCGCATGACCGGCCTCCATCGAATTTGTGTGGCCTCGATGCTACTAACATCTGCCTACAAGCCTATCGTCGGGAACCATATACTCACTCTGGTTTCTTGGCCATTGCTTTAGACCTTGATGTTCAGGAACGTGAGTTATATGGCGATAACCCGACTCTACATCCCCCACAGGATAGTAATTACACTCCACGTAGGGGATTCAATGTCTCTGTTTTAAAGACTGCTTTGATAAGGCGCCGGCTTGATATGCAGCGTGCCCCTTCGGGTGGCGACTCGGACTACTGTTCGCACGTTTGTGCCTGTATTCTACGTGCTCCTGGCCACTACATTGCTCTCGTTCGTGCCTGTGGTTCTTGGGAATTATGGAATGACGGTGCTATGGTGCAAAATATTATTGACATTTGTGATCTCGTACGTAATTACCCTAACCTGCACTGTTCCAGGTTATTGACCCTATGGGTACCGCATGTACTTCCATGCCCGCCTCTACGCCTATCTCTGTACCTACCCCCGTACTTGTCTTTGTGCCTATTTCTGTGTTCGTCTCCTTCCAGATTACTGACCCTATGGGTACCTTGTGTACTTCCGTCCTCGCCTCTGCACCTGTCTCTATGCCTACCTCCGCACCTGTCTCCATGCATGTTTTGTGTCTTTCTCCGTGCCTACCTCCATGTCTGTCATCGTGCCTGCTTTAGTCTTCATTCGCCCACATGCTGCACTAACACCTTGTGACCTCCTCCTTTGTGAGATCACTGACAGAGTTACATCTGGTTGTGGAAAGCATCAACTTTGTCGACACCACTGCAACCGTATAAATTTCGGGCTCGCTGTCGGTAGGGATGCCACCTGTATCCGGATTGTGAACATCCTCCTCTACACATTAATGCAGTATGTCCCATCTGTGTCTGTGGGTGCTATAGCGAATGTGCACTTAACTTTGATGGTGAACCTCCTTCAATCGTCATGGCCTTCAATCGGCATAACCTCTGTCGTGCATGCTTCAAAGGTATGGTTAATGCTAGCCGGCCTGACTCCTGCTGTGACGAAGTTGCTTACCTGAATGGTTTTCGTCCTGTAGGTCAGGGGAAGGGCTGCTACCATCTCCCTCATCCTTATGACAATTGTCCTATTTGTCGTGAGGGTCTTACTTAGACATAATTGCACCTTGACAAAAATGTGCAGGTGCGCTGAAAAGAGTGTACAAGAATGTGCAAAGGTGGGAAACCCTTCACTAAAACTACAACAGAGTGAAGAATGCAATAAAAGAAAAGCATAAGTTTGTGACATTTTACGGTTTTTACTTTGTTTGTACCTTGCACCCTAACACTCTCAAAGGAGTAGTCCAAAGGGTGAAAATGAAAATGAAAAATGAAGAAGTGCAGGTGCGCTGAAAAGCGAACGTGGTAGACTCTTCACCAAAACTACAAAACTGTGAAAGAAAGTAGAATGCAGTAAAAAAAAGAAGAAATTTGTGTTAACTTTTTTTAATTTTTTCTCCCTCTGCCCAGTTTTCCTTTACTGCTGCTCTCTTTCGCGTGTTTAACACATCTTCCTTCACTTTGCCTCTTTCCTAGCGTGCAAGTGGGCTGTTATGGCATACGGGGATGGGGGCAGCTCGCGCTCATCTTCATCAACGTGGCAAGCCTTGTACATTAGAGGCACGGTGGAGGCGACGTGAAGAAGACCGAGAAAGTGTTTGTTTTTTATTTTTATCCCTTGTTCAGTGTAATTTTTTTTTGTAAAACACTGAAAGAAATAAGAATACAGTGAAACAAAGAATAAGAGGACATTGTTTTGTGTCATTCTGGTTTGTATGTCTCTTTGCCTATCCGTCCTTTCATTTTTCTTGTCTTCACTCATCTTATTCCTTGTTCTACTTCACATGCTTACGCTGTTAGTCAATAGTTTTGTGACAATATATATGTCGACGTTGCCAACTCTTTGCGTTTGCAGATCGGACGACGAGCGTCGGGCCTGTACAATCGCGCGATTCTTCAATTGAATCTTCAATTGATGTCTTTTATTGATGTATAAATTGAGTATTGTCAATCGACGTTCTGCACTCTGCCCCCTGTTCTCACATTGCTTTGTGAATCTTTTCAGGGGCTGCATTTCATTTGGCGGGCACTCTAATAACCTGCTCCTTTGTGATTATTTTTTTTATGCTTGGACAATATTAGCCCTGTTAGGTGTTTGATCTGGTACGTTGCTTGGTGCTATAGTTTTGTTATTGTATAAGGTATTATGCATATAAGCACTGTGGTGGCGGTCACCGTAAGGACACACTTTGTAATCCTTTTCCTGTGTAGTGGGGATAGTTACAGCCCTCCTAAAGTTAGCCAAACCTGGGTGGTGGCCCCCATGCCCATCTCACCTCTTCGTATGACACTCTTTCGTGTCATGCTCACACATTAATAAAACCTACAGGTTGGCTTGCTTTTGCTGAACTGACACTGTTGGTCTGTCGGTGCAAGGTTGTGAGCACTAGGATCACATTGGATCAGATTGGGTCACGACACACTCACCAGGGGATGTAGAGTCGTACATGAACCAACATTATGTTGGCTCATTGCTAATGGTGAATACCGTACGAAACGAACGGCGGCAGGATCAGTTCCCGAACAAGCTGCCGGTCCTAAAACCTTGCCTTTCTGTGCACCTCTCCGACTCTTTTCTTACCAAAAAAATAAAATTTCAAAAAAATAAATGTTACGTTGAAACAAATGAATTCAACACAGAGGATCAATCAAGGGATTCTCGGGAAGTTTCCTACTACTGGAATGGTAGGCGTAGTTCCAGGCAACATAGGTCAGGGAATCCTTGGTAGATTTCCTGTTGACACTGCATTAGACACGATTGATCAGAGAATTCTTGGGATATTTCATGGCGACACTACTTCAGGTGTAGTTTCTCATAATAATCATCGACTAATTTTTTCTTTTTCCTCCCAACCTTATCTACATGCTGATTCCACACGTCTTGTTGATTGGATTCGGCACCTTCACTGGAATACTTACCTCTACTCTGCAGACACTTGGCGCAAGAGGCAGTTGCAACAACTTAACACGACGATACGAATAAGGCGTTTTGAATTGCAGCTGAGAGGAATTGGTCAACTGACACTCCAATCAAATATGGACCCTCTCTCTGTCCGGGGAGTGATCTATGCCATCGTTCATATTCCGTCTGGGCGTCTTTACATAGGTTAGACTATGCACTCCTCGCATCAGTGTTTGCAGCAACATTGACATGTTGGTCGTTCTGCTGCGGAGTTTGGGCTACGCCGGCTTGACAGTGTCATGTCTTGTCAAAACCCCTTCAATTTTGCAGTCTGGCCCTTGGAACGCATTGACCCGACCCTTTACCATACACCGTAAGGTCTTGTTGACTGTAATCTTTTTCGACGAGCTGCTACGACACGGGAAGCCTATTGGGTGCACCGGTTGCAAACTCTTCATCCAGCTGGTCTCAAACCTGTCCTGTCGCTTGGTCGCCTGCCAGCAAGAAGACGACAACGTCGTCCTCATCGCACATACACGCCCTCGTCCGTTAGACCATCAACAACCTAGCCTATTCATTTGCGTCTAGGCCCCGACTTTGAAGTCCGGTCTGCATTGCACAATCTTCTCCCACCGACTGTTGTTGGCAATTCGCA